TAGCAGTGAAGAGAAATCTACCCAGAGAATGTTCCACCCTTTCCGATACACATAAACTAGGCGTGGCGAAAATCCCTACCCCTCCCTCCGCGGGCCCTTTTCCTGTTAAATATCTAGCTACAGCCACTCGGAAGTCTGCATTTCCCTCCTTCCATTCCCCTTTCCTAGCCGACCCGCAGACTCCGGCAAGCTCTCCCCCTTGCAGGAGGGTACACACGCTCCCCACTGGGCAGGGACCACCCCAATTTCTAGCGGCGCCGGGGGAGAAGGTCCGGCGCCCACCTGCCCCGGACCGAGGCGCGCACGGGGCAGGCTGCCTGAGGACCTGGAACTGGCGGCATCCTTTCTGCAGCACTTCCTTGCAGCTCCTGCCAGCCACCCCGAACTTCTTCTGGCAGTGCAGAGCCCGCAGCTTGAAGATTTTGGGTTTCTGGAACTTTGCGAACATCATCGAAGTGTTTGTTGTCGCGCGGTCCAGTCCCCCGTCCAGATGCGTGGTCGGCCAGCACAGAAGCTGGAGTTCCGGGGAGACGACGGAGGCCAGCTCACCGCCCGAAAACTACATTACCCAGAAGGCCAGGGATGTGGGGCGGGGCTTGGTCTGTACGCATGCGCAATCGGGGTCACGAAAGGGTCGCGGCCCTGCGCACGCACAGAGGTTTCGCCTCAGCGCCGGGCAGGGCTTGGTTGTCATGAGAGCAGCGTCCGCGGCCCGGGCGATGGGCGGAGGCGGCCGGGGCTGCTCCTCGGCCGCTACCGCCGCTGCGACTCCGAGGCGTGGGGCCGCTCGGGGCTGCGGAGGAGACGCCACCTGAAATCGCCGCAAGAAATCGGGTGCCGGGGAGTCGGCGAAGGAACGGCCGGGCCGGGGGCCGAGGCCGGGCCTACCCGCTGGACGACCCGTTAGTCCCGCTTGGAGCTGGAACTGGGGCTCCACCCAACCGGGCCGCCCTGCAGCAAGCCGCGCCCCAACTTCCCGCGGCGAGTCCCGCCAGGCGAGAGTCGCGCAACGTCGCTTCCCTCAGCCCACTGGGGTTTCCTGATTCCAGTCTGGAACTTTTCCGTTTTGATCAGGTATCTTTACTGCAGCAGCTGACCTTACTGAGCCAGACCCTTGACCAACAAGCTCCCAGCCGCGGGTTCCTGGAAGCCCTGCTTCGCCGCGTGCACCGCTAGTCAGCGGTTACTCGGGTTCCCATACAGCTGTGTGGATTTTGTGCTTAGGATTTTGGGTTGCCTGTAGGACAGGTGTGGTCCTCGCGGTGGGGGGGGGAAGGGGCGGGACAAGAATGGAAGGGGCGGTGCCAGAAAGCTTATCATTGAGTGTCAGACGTGCCCCCCCAGCCAAGTAACTGACCGGTCTGTGGGTTTCATCCCTCTAAACTAGCAGTGAATCCCATAGTCGACCTGCGGCGTCACTACGGAGTGTTGTTGTTGTTGTTTTAAGGTTCCTTGTAGTTAGCGTTGCTTTTCATTCTCATATTCCAACTTTGTCTGGTTTTCAACCACATTCTTAGAGCTGGTGTGTATTGTGTGTATGTGTATTCTTTACTTTCTAACTCTGAGGCACTTCAAATCCTTAAGGTTACTTGATCCAAAAGAAAAAGAAATCAACTAAATTGTATGGCATTCAAGTTTTCTTAAAAGGAAAGCTAGACAATGAAACGATATATGACAGAATGAATGTAAAACTAATGGTCTCCCATGTAAACTATCACATAAGTCACAATAAAACATTTATTTTTTTTTAAAAAAGGAAACAAATCTTTACAGTGAGGATCACTGCCACCCCCTCGGTATGCAGGGTTGACAGGGATGGGCATCTTAGACATTGGCTACCCAAAATGGGGGGCTTATAAAGGCAAGGAGTGACTGTCTTACAAGCTTTCAAGAGGGAGCCTAGTTCTAGACAGAGCAGGGGAAGGTAGAATCACCCCTGAATGAATCTGTTAGGACTGGGCTGGCAAAAGGAAATGGGGATACGACTCTTGTGGTACAATAGTGATTAATTGCCATCAGGACTGATTGTGAAGGTAGGAAATACAGAGGTAGATGTTTTTTGACAAAAGGAGGAGAGTGATTGATTTTGAAGCCCAGGAGCGGAGGTCACTGGGACCATCAAGTGAGAAGAACAGGGAGGCAGTGACACCAGGGATGGAGACAGAGACAATGACGTGGACAGATGGAGCGGCTGGGGACACTGGACTCAGGGAGGGAGAAAGGATGTGTGCTGGCATCCAGGGAGCAGGGGGGCCTATGTGGTATACCCTTTGGTTATTTGATGATGCATGGAGGGGATTGTAATCATTGCAATGAAATGAAATACGATAGGATGAGTATAAAGCTGATGTTCTCCCATGTAAACCTCACAATAAAAACTTTAAAAAAAGGAAAGCTAAAAGCAAGCTTTGTTTCCTAACCTTGTAGCAAAACCTCTGGAAGTCCTTAACTTGGGTTTTAAATTTAACTGGTCAATATCAATGAGCTTGATTGAAAGTGGGTTCTTTGAAAGGGATCCCTGGTTTACTTCTACCTTGCCTGTACTGTTGTAAGTGTATTAAGGGATCAGTGTGCTGGTGACTCAGTGGTAGAATTGTCCCCCAGCTTCCATCCCCCACCAATTCTCCTCATGTGCAGCTACCCTCCATTTAAGAGTGGAGACTTCTATGTTGCTTTGATGCTAAACAAGTTTCACCAGAACTTTCAGGCTAAGACTAGGAATAAAAGCCTGGATATCACCTTCCAAACATCAACCAGTAAAAGCCCTGTGATCACAATGGTTCAGTCTACAACAGACGGAGAGAATGGTGCAGGACCCAGCAGTGTTCTGTCCTTCTGTGCATGGGATCACCATAGTTTGGGGGCGATGACAACAGAGAGTATCATTGCTAAGGAAAGAAGGCAGCCTGAGATGGGAGCTGTGCAGGGATCCCACATACCTCAGCGTCAGGAAGAGCATCTGATATCTGATCCCCCAGCAAGGCTTCTGTCCATCCCAAAGTTTTCATGGTGACTTGTTGTTCGTAAGTGCCCTCAAGTCTATTCCGACACTAAGCGACCCCTATAGGGTTTCCAGGGAGTGGCAGGTGGGTTTGACCTGCCGACTTTGCAGTGCTTATCCTACAGCATCACACCAGGATTTGTATGGATCCTAAAAGTGACATCAGTTGATGGCACCCCAAGTACCTCACATAATGCTTGAAGGTTTGCACAAAGGACACCCTAAGATACAAGGTGGAAGTTCTTTGGGCAAGAATGGACCCAAACAGATCCTTTCCCATAAGGGTCCCAAAGCAAGGTAATAACCTTCCTCCACACTGCCCAGGCATTTCTTATAACTGGTTCACAGTTGTTGTTAAATGCCATCGAGTCAGTTCCGACTCATAGTGATCCTGTATAGAGTTTCCAAGGAGTGGCTGGTGAGCTTGAACTGCCGACTACACTGTTCAAACTGATCCTTGCCATCCAGCACATTAACCCACAGTGCCGCAGCAGGATTTAATGCTTCCCTTTCCTTTTACTGGGGTGTTTGTGTAGTTTAGTGGTAAAAATGGCCTGACAGAGGCATCTGGTCTCATCAGCCCAAAACTGACTGCTACAAAGCAGAGGCCAGACATACCTCCTCTCTCCAGTCTTTTCACCAGTTCTAACACCAGCCATTCCACAGCATTCAATAAGTTGTTGCAGTGGCCACACAGAACTCACAGATGATACTCACAGTTCTGGAATTTATAGGGAAGTAACAGGTTACAATCCAGGATTGACTCAAGATACAATTCTTTAGTCAGGACAGCTTCTCAGCCCTGCCCATGGTGCCTCTCTCAGCCCCCCCCAGGCCACTTGTGCCCTGAAGCACCCCACTCTTTCCCACAGGCGCTCAGCTGTCTTTCTCTGCGTGGGCTAGGGAGCCCACCACATGTCTCCTGCCGGTCGCCGGGTTCTGTTGGCATCAGTTCTCTGCTGCTATTTCTCACCTTAATTCAGAGGCATCGGTTCTTCTTCGGTCTAGCTTATTCATTGTCCAGCTTTTGCATACTTATGAGACAACTGAAAATGTCCTGGCTTAGATCGATTGTACCTTTGCTGTCAAACACTTTAGAGAGGTCTTGTGCAGCAGAATTACTCAGTCAACACATCACTTGATTTCTTGACTGCTGTTGCCATGAGTGTTGATTATGGATCTAAGTAAAATGAGATCCTTGACAGCTTCAGTCTTTTCTCTGTTTTCATGATGTTGTGTATTGGTCCACTTGTGAGGATTTTGGTCTATAATCCATACTGAAGGCTGAATTCTTTGATCTTCATCAGAAAGTACTTCAAATCCTCTTCGCGTTCATCAAGCAATGTGTTGTCTGTCTGCATATCAAAGGTCCTTAATGAATCTTCCTCCAATCCTGATGCCACATTTTTCATATAGTTCAGCTTCTCAGGTTATTTGCACAGCATACAGATTGAATAAATGTGCTGAAAGGATACCACCTTGACATACACCTTTCCTGACATTGAACCATTCAGTATGCCCTTGTTCTGGCCCAGCAATGCCTTTTGGTCTCTGTACAGTTTCATCATGAGCACTGTGAATGACTAGTGGGGTGAGGGATCAGAGAGGAACACAAGCATTAGCACGCCCTGTAGCCAGCTGGACCGAGCCAAGGTGTTGGACGTTGCACTGCGCCCCACATCCAAGGGACTGCTGCTGGTGTATAAGAAGGTGGTGTGCACGATGGCCCAGGAGCACCTGACAACACTCGTCTTCCTGGAGGAGTGCATTGTCACCATCTGTCACCTGGGGCCAGGCATTCACAGACCAGGTAACCGAGGGGAAAGAAGTTGTTTCAGATATCTCCCAGCAAGTCAGTGGCAGAAGATGTCTCCTCCCAGCCCAGCCCCTCCCCAGTGGCGCAGTGGTGTGAGCCATGGGCCCCAGCCTCCTAGTCACAACCTCCCTACTGCTGTCAGTGACTGTTTATACCAGATAGAGTGGCTGACCTTCTGTGTTAACTTTAAAGGTCCTTTAAGTCTAAGCTGCATAGCATAGTGTATCAGTCACGATCAAAGACATCTGGAACCTAACTGCTTAAGAACTCATCCTGCTTGCATGGCTTACTGAGCTATAGACTTTGGCAGGGACCTCACTGTGCCTCCGTTTCCTTGTCTCTAAAGCTGGAGTGGTGATGATGCTTATGTCATAGAGTTATTAGAAGGAAAGACATAGATGGCAAGTGCTGAGAACAGCCCCTGGCATGTGGTAAGTACTATGAAGACTTTCTCCATGTGTGCTGTAGTACATGGTTTAATGTGTCCCTTCTAGCCTTAGTCTTTGTAACGCCCACCAAAAGATTCTTTTGCAGATGGGTCTGAATAATAGAAGGTGGGGGAAGATGCTGATGGGATATATGTGAGTGATTGTTAACAGAGTTAATTGTAAAAACTTGGAACCCTAACGTG